TCATGAATAAGACAGGCTAAACTTATTTACAGTAACTTTATCTAATGGGCCGTGGATGAGGGCTTTTATGCAAAATAGGCAAGAGACTTGAATTAACTCTTCACGTTGGCTGCACATTGGATGTCCAGGCTTCAGCAACATGTGGCATTTGATTATATAAAAGAGGTGCCAGAAATTCAATTTTTATTTAACACATTTCAGAATGCCTGAGTCATCCATGCGGCATTAAATGTAAGTTTTGTAATGATGCTGTATTCATTGCCTACAAAGGACAAACAGAAATTCTTTATTCTATTGTTTTGAAAAAAATTTTGCCTCTTCAGGGAATAGTTAATTAATGTAAAAATTGACATTATCACTTTTTGACTTGTGACAAAAAGGTTTGCTAGAGGATTGCTTTATAGACACCCTTTTTTTGATATGGAAGATAATTATGTCATTGGCTGTTGACAACTGAGTTTTTGTTTCTCTTTATCACTCTCAGGAAATCACTTCTAGGTGGTAGAATATGGAAGCTCAGGCCTTTTAGAGAGCAGGCACTAGGTGAATATATGCAGATTTGGGGATCGAAAGACTGTAACCTGCTTCTGCATTATACAGATGAAGAAACTGAGGCTTGGGGTCAGTCCCTTGCCCAGGGTTGTATTGTTGGGAGTTGAATCTGATCCTTCCTGATTCTAAATCCAGCACTCTCTAACATGGAAGCCTTTTTCATTATTATATCTGTCAATTAGTGGTCAGTCAATAAACATTTATTAAGCGCCTGCTACGTGCCACACCAAAAGATAGAGCTTACTCTGGAGGAGCTCACAGTCTAAGGTGGGAGATAACATACAAACAACTGTGTACGAACAGGCTATATACATTGGATAAACTAGAAATAGTCAGCAGAGCAAGGCACTAGGAAATCATGGGAAGGCTTAGGAAAACCTTCTTATAGAAGTCAGGATTTTAGCTGGGACTTGAGGGAAGCCAGGAGGTGGATAGGAGGAGGGAGGGCAGGTACAGGGGACAGTCCCAGGCACAGGGCACAGTCCCAGGCATAGGGGATAGTCAGAAAAAATGCCCAGACTCAGGTGAGGGAGGGAATGTGTTAGAAAATAGTGAGGAGGCCAGAGTGACTGGATCACAGGGTACATAATGGGAGGAGGGAGACTGGGAAAATGGGCAGGGGGCTTTGAATGCTAACCAGAGGATTACATGTGTGATCCTGGAGGTGAGAGGGAGCCATTGGAGTTTATGGAGTAGGGGGTATCATGGTTGGACCTGCACTTGAGGACAGCTGAATGGATTGGAGAGGAGATCCTTGAGGCAGGCAGACCCCCCCCCCCCCCAGCAGGCTGTTGCAGTAATCTGGGCATGAGGTGATGAGGGCCTGCACCAGGCTATGGCAGTGTCAGAGCAGAGAAGGGGGCATATGTGAGACAGGTTAATGGAGGTAAAATCCACAGGCTTTGACAAAAGATCAGCTCTGTGGAGTGCGAGAGAGTCAGGGGTTGGAGGGGATGCCTAGCTGGAGAGCCAGCATGTCTGGGACCATGGTGGGACTCTCATTACTAACAGGGAAGTTAGGAAGAGGGCAGGGTTCGGGAGGAACAGTGAGTCCAGTTTGGTCCATGTTAAGTTTAAGATGTCTGTAGGAATGCAGTTCAGGATGTCCAGCGGACGTTTGGAGATGTGAGGTTGGAGGTCCACAGAGAGGCCAGGGCTGTGTAAGTAGCACTGAGAATCCTCAGCATGGGCGTGATCGTTGAATCCATGGGAGCTGAGGAGTGACACAGTATGGAAGGAGAAGGGACGAGAGAACAGCCCAGAGCTCTGTGGGGTATGCGCAATGTCATGGTCATCCAGAGAGAAGAGAATGACCAGCAGTGTCACGGTCTGCAGATGTCCAGAAGGATGAGGATTAAGAAGGGGCCAGTGCCTGTGGCAGTGAGGACATCTTGAGTGGCGTCAGAGCCATTTTGGTTGGATGATGAGGTGGGAAGCAGACCAGAGAGTGAGGAAAAGGAAGGTGGAGGCCCGGTCACGGTAGAACTTTCTCCTAGGAGGTTAGTCACGAAAGGGAGGAGAGATGCGGGAAAATAACCGGGGGAGGGGTCGATCTTTCGAGGATGTGAGAGACACGGCCATGTTTGTAAGCTACTAGCCAGCTGGCAGGAAGAGACTGAAAGTAAGTGGGAAAGTGGGTATCGTTAGAGGGTGAAATCTGCCGGGGAGAGGGGGCGGCCTGGGTGGGACCACTTGTGTATGTAGAGGGATTAGACTTAGTGAGGGGAAGGGCCTCCTCTTCATGTGGGCCTGGGGGGAGGAGAAGAGGGAGCTCTGCTTTTTTCAGTAAGATTTGAGACAGGGTTCTCCATCAGCTAACCAGGGAGAAATCAGAGGTTCCGTAGTTCAGAGGTGAACCTTGGTCAGAACACTTTGACTATTTTAACTTGGGATTCTCCGGCTTCAGAGTTTTATGTATTTTTTTTTTTTTTAAAAAGGATTGAGACTGAAATGGAATGCTTTGCATATCGCACTGGTTCTTCCATTTTTCACTTTAGGTTTCCTTTTGGACTGTCATGTAACCTAATTTCTAAAATTACCGGTATTTTTAACTTTCTGTTTTTAGGTCAAATAGACTCACACAAATCCACGCTACTTTGAACTAGTTGTGAGCTGGATATGTGGACATCCAAAGGCATCCTTATCCTCCAGGGTTGCTGCACTACTTTTTCCTGTGCCGTTTTTTCAGTCCCCACCCCAGTTGCTGGCTCCTGCAACTGGAATTTCCCATTGATAGGATTCCTGTTCCTCCAGGCCTTCTCAGCCATCTGTCTTCTCGGCCCATTTGCTTGCCTTTAGTCCCTAGGAGAGGCCGGCCAAAGGACATTCCCATCCATGGTGGCTGGAGCCGTGAGCTGAGCTGCTGTTCTGTGGCCATGGGATGGAGCACTCCAAAAAGCATCTTTTTTTCCTAGTCCGTGATTTCAGTGATGTGGTGATGTCCGAGTGAGGAAACTCCTCTAGCAGATCAGATCAGTGACTGGTTGGAGCTTCTGGCATCGTCCTCTGGCCGTGAACGGGACACTGGGAGGTCACTTAGCCTCGATGCCTCTGAGGAGACTTGAATCCATCTTGACTCTGAGGCGTGGTTTCCATCCAGTTCACTAGGCTGATCGTGACAAGTCAGCAAAACCCACACGTGCCCCACCACCCACCCATTACCTGCTCCGTCATCCATCTTGGAGCATCTTCTGTTGTTGGGCTGCCCGGTCTCTTTTTGTGCTAAGTTTAAATGATACCATCAATGTCCTTCTGCCGTGGGGCAGCCTCTTCCCCTCCCCAGCTCCTTTCAAAGCTGGGCTCAAGAGCTGCCGCCTCTGTACCTCCTCTCCTGAATTCCCCCCGGCTGCCAGACACTCTCCCTTCCCCCAGGAACCTCATCTTTACTTTGGACGTGTTCTGTATTTTTTACTTCTATGTTGTCCACTCTCATCCTCCTTCCGTGACATCCACAGCAGACTGGAAGCCCCTGGAGGGCAGGGGCGGTTTCATTTTTGTCAGGGCCCAGCATAGTGCCTTACATCTAGTAGGTGTTTAATGTTTTTTAATTGCCAAATTAGTATTCAAGAGAAGCTGCCCACGTTGCCACATTAATCACAAATGTGTGTTTCTCTGAGTGTCTGTACATGTACACACACACATAGATGTGCATGTTTTGCTTTCTCAAAGCGGGCAACCTTCCATGTGCTATGGAAGCACTCACTCTCTGTGCTCCTGTTTCTGTGGCTTTGATTTCTTCTGTGTTTTAAAATACTCTGGTATCATTGCTTATTCAGTCAATAAGCATTTATTAAATATATTTCTGTTAGATGTTATTATTTTTGTTGTATATTTAAAACTTGCTATTGCAAGTTGTACATAGTAGATTTGCACTTTCATGTGCAATCATCCTTTTTTTATTCTACAGTGTTTTGGAAATGCTTGTTTTATTCCATCAATTAAAAATAAAATAAATTTTAAAAAATAAACTTGGAATGGATTTGTGCTCATTCCTGCTCTGGTGAGCTTTGCCCAGGCCTCCCAAGCCAAAGGGGCATCTGGGAGCGACTCCTCAGGGAAGGAGCTGCCTCATTTTTTTCAGATCCTTTGCTTCCTCACATGTAAAATAAGACCGAAAGAGCTGTCCTGCCAGCTTTGTGGGGCTGCATTGAACCTTACATGAGATGAGCTTGGGTGGCGAATGGCTTTGCCAGCGTGAGCGTGGTGTTGGTGGCCTGTCTGGGGAGGCGACAAGAGAGAGCATCAGGGGCTGGCAGGGATGCTCGGCTCTGAAATCCAAGGCCTCGTCCCAGCCTGGAGTTGAAGCTGTACACTGAGATCTTGGGTTTTCTGTGCATCTGCCCCCTTCCGCTTGGAGCTGTACGTTCTGTTTAATTCAGGAAACATTTATTAAGTGCCATTGTAGTGCCAGGGACTCGATCGAGTGTGGGGGATATGAATCCCCAAGTTAAACAGTCCCTGCCCTCAAGGAGCTTCCGTTCATTCAGTTGGAAGGATACTCAGATAAAGAAATCTAAGCTAGATTAAGGCAGAGGAGAACACTTACTGGGGGCCAGGGACCAAGCGAGACCATGGACGTGCGAGGTTGTGCCTGGTCCACGAAACAGGGCTGAATAGGCACAGCACAGAGGCACCGTTTTCTCCTCTTTCAAGCCATCCGCTGCCATGTCGGTGCATGCATTCTTTCTTAATGGATCATTTTGTTTAATAAACTTTTTCTCCCCTATCCATTCTTTACCTGCTTGCAGGCTGCCAAGTATCCTCTCATGTCACAGTTTTTTGGTGTGAACATGGAGCAAATTGACACAGTGGGATGTGGGCGTCTGTGCAGGCAGAGCCCCTGCGAGGTGGCGCCCCTTCTGGGTGTCCTCCGTGATATGGAGCTGCCTCCTACAGGGCTACTCATGGTCAAGAGGTGACGGTGGCCGTTTTGTCTCTTTCTCTCATAGGAAGAAGAAAGTGAAGAGGAACCCAAGCTGAGATATGAACGGCTTTCCAATGGGGTGACTGAAATTCTCCAGAAAGATGCCGCCAGTTGTATGACAGTGCACGAGAAGGTATGGGGTCACTCCTGGAGCCTGATGGCGTCAGCTCTTGGGATTTCTTGTTCTGGATCTTCCCCACCTCCCCCCACATCAGGAAGTCTGCCGAATGGTGATAGCTGTGAATGGCTTGTTATCTTAGTATTAGTGTGATTATTGCCTTATCAAGATAGTGTTTGCTTTCCAAAGGAGAGGAGTCAATTGAAAAGCCCTATAGCTAAGTGGGTGGAGTTGCTTCAGATACTGACTGTGACTGTGAGAAAGTCATTGAGGCACTGGGGGCCCCAGCATCCCTCTGTGATCATAAATGGGAGATCTGCCTTGGTGAAGGAAGTTACCACACTGGGCATTCCTTATACCAGGGAAATCACAGATCCAAACACACACACACACATACACACACACACACACACACACACACACACACACACACACACTTTGCAGTCATTAACCTAAGAAAGGGTTGGAAAATAACAACTATTGAATGTTCAGCTGAGATAGAGCACTACTAAACAGGCCTGTGTAGTCTGGTAAACACACCAGATTGTTGGTTTGGGAAAGATGACAAAGCAGTTGACCTGACTGAATCACTAGACCAGTTTGATTAAGAATGTATGCCCAGCACTCTCAGAGATCTCCAATTTCATCAGTCTGGGCACCAAGTTGGGGCCACGCCTCCATGGTGAGAGTCCCCACACTAATGAAATTGGAGATCTTTGACACTGTCTGATAGATGTCATTATTAGCAATGATAAACCAATGAGTCGACTCAGTTTGGATCTCTTCATTTAAAAACAGAATGTGTCCCTGGAACTAGGCATTATTCACAGTTATTTGTGTATAGCAGAGTCACTCAGAATAAACTTAGTTATATCAAAGAGCGTTATAGAGCAGGGGGTCGGCAAACCTGTGGCCCTGAGAGCCGTAGCCAGCCCACCACCTGCTCTGGTATTGCGGAGTTATGAATGGTTCTTAGATTTCTTAAATACAGTAAAACTTTATTATAAATGTAAAAACCATTCTTAGCTTCCAGGCAGTAAAAAAAAGAGGCTGTGGGTTGGATTTAGAAGGATTGGATATTCGCATCTGATGTAAAAACAAAGCAAACAAAACCCCAGACACTCATTAAACATCTACGGTGTGCCAGGCACTGTATTAAGCACTTTATAAATATATTCTCATTTGTTCTTTATGTGCTTTTATTATCTCCATTTTACAGTTGAGGAAACTGAAACTGATAGAGGATAAATGACTTGCCCAGGATCTCATGGCTAGTAAATGTCTGAAATTGGATTTGAACTCAAGTCTTCCTCATTCCAGGCCCAGTACCTGCTCCACTGTGCCATCTGGCTACCTCTATATACTGTCAAATAACTAAGGCTTTTCTAATCTCAAGAGGAGCCAACTAAGTCAAATTAATTCATCAGTTAATAGCCCTCTCCTGGTTCCCTTCCTATCTGTGTGACTGTTCTATCTTGGTCTCCTTCCAAGGCTCCCTTTCTTCCTGTCCACTGTGTGGGGTGTCCCTCTAGGCTCTGTCCTTGACCTTCTTTCTTTTGCCCTTGAAAATCTCATCTATTCCCATGGGTTCAATCCCCACTTGTGTGGAGAATATCCCATTGATCAGCAAGCTTTTATTAAGGGTCAGCCAAGTACCAGGCACTGTGCAGCTGGCTGTGTTCTAGATCCCCAGCCCCATTGTTCCTTTGAACTCTGGACTCAGGATATCTCTGTCTCTGGATGGTGGGCTGGCACTTCCCAGAGTACATGGCCAAAAATGAGCTTCCTGTGCGGCGGTGTGCCACAGTGACTAGCCTTGGCTATAGAGTCTGAGGACCAGGATGTCAGTCCTGCTGCCATGTCCACCTGTGGGACCTGGGACGAGTCATTCCACCTTCTCATTTGTAAAATAAGATTGGAGTAGGTGGTCTGTCTGGGGCTTTGGAGCTCTCCAGTTAGCTTCTCTGATACGTGATCCTGTGATGCTCGCCACCTCCCCAGCTGCCCCTCCTCCCTTTGCTGTTAACGGTTTGAATTGCCCCTAAAGATTAAACAAAGAGAGAAGCTATCATAATAGTGAAAGCACGAAACACTTTAAGAATTGAGAGAGGATTGAAGTGAAGGAAGTTAGATTTTGAGTTTTGCTACAACAATTGAATGTTGCAAACTCCTTTATGTGTCAACCATTGTAATTATTGCATTGTAAATTTTGCTTTTTAAGCAATTAAAAAACCTCAAGTGATACATGCAGGCAGGCCAGTTTTGAAAGTAACAGGTTGCATGTGTTTACTTGGAGGAAGGAGAAAACTGGGTATGCAGATTTACGGCTGTCTATTTGAATTTATATGGAAATGCCCATCTTTGTTATTTGTTGTTGAGAAAAAATGTAAATGAAAATATCAAGGGATGAAAGAGAATGACATTCATCAATAATATTTAGTTAGATGTTTCTATAGGTATCATTACTCACTTTTATAAAGTTATATTGATTGGAGGACTCTGACTGTTACTCATTGAAAAGTTAGGGCAATGATATATCTCAATCCAAATGTTAATAGGTAATTCTGAAACAAAAGAAATGCCTTATCAAAAGTTTTTATATTTTTCTTTTGAATTCTGATACCAAAAATAAAAACATTTCTGTATACATGGGGGAAAAAATGAAAACATAAAGAGGACTGTATATAAAAGTGAATTCTGTGTCATAAAGCACTTTCTTTTCCAGTATGTAATTCCACATTACTTTCAAAATTATTCTGCTTATCTGTTCTTCCTTCTGTTTCTTTTTTGGGTATTTTAAAAAATGCCCTCTTTGGAGGTGGAGGGCGACATCACTGATTTTAAACCTCTTTCTCCCATCCTTCCCATCTCCCATGAAAAATGGAGAGAAAAACAACAACAACCACAACACAACACAACCGCTACCTTGTCACAAAGAAGCATAGAAAGGCAAAATTAATTCAGACGGGAACCACGTCCAGCAGTGTCTATCTCCTTCTCCTCGTGAAGCCCGTTACCTGTCTGCCAGGAGGTGGGCAACATGCTTGATTACATGTCCACCGAAGACATGGTTGGCCGTTGCTTTGGCCATTGCTTTGATCTAAGTTTCTAGGTCTTTCAGAGTTGCTTTTATTTACAGTGTTGTCCTTGTGTAAATTGTTCTTCTGCTGACTTAATTCCTGTTCATACCATGGGAATCCATGTACTCAGGACCCTCTGAAATCATCTCTTTCATCATTTCTGACAGTGCAATAGTATTCTATTACATTTGTACGCCAGTTTGTTCAGCCCTTTGCCAGTTGATGGACTCTCCCTCAGATTTTAGATCTTTGCTTTTCTGTCTTTCCTTTTACTCCTTCTTCAAGATCAAGAAGCTTGTTTTGCTTATAGCTGTTCCTTCTTCAGTTTTATCTTCTTATCTTCCTCATTTCCCCATCTTTGCTTATTTTCCTGTTAGATTTAATATATACTTTTAAAATTAAATTTTGTTATTTTTCAGTCAGTCAATAATAGTCCATCTTAACCTCTTATCCCCCCACATCAATTTAGTGGAGAAACCTAATTTAGAAAGAAAGAAAATTAAAACCCCTGTTAAAAACACATATGATCACACAAAACAAATTCTCACATTAGTCTTGTCCTGGAAAAAATATGTCTCATTCTATATCTGAGTCTTATCACCTCCCTGTCGGGATGTGGGTAGCGTGTTTCATCTGGAATCTTAGTTGATTACTGTGTTGATCAGTTTCCAAGCTTTTCACAAGTATTTGTCTTTATAGTATTGTTGTTACTAAATAAACTCTTCTGGTTCTGTTCACCTCACTCAGAACTGGTTCATACAAGTCTTAGATTTTTCTCAAACAATCCCCTTCATCGTTCTTACAGCACAAAATATTCCATTACATTTGTATACCGTAACTTGTTCTACCATTCCCCAATTGGTGGGTACAACCTCATTTTCCAGTTCTTTACCACCACAAAAAGAACTGCTATAAATACATTTGTATGCCCTTAGTTAAAATTTGTTTTGCTTTTGACTAATCCTTAATACACCCTCTTATTCCCTCTTCTTCCTTTTCTCATTTCCCAATTTTCCCTTTTGAAATTAAATGTAATTCTTTAACCAGCCATGTGTGTTATTTTCCCTCCTTTGATCAGTTCAAATGAGAGTGAAGTTCAAGTGTCACTTGCTCCCTGCCACCGCTTTTCCTTGATTTTATAGACTTTTACTTGTGTATCTCAATTCCGTGAGAATATTTTTTCCATCCTTCTTCACCTTCCCTTGTATCCCAAAGTATTCTTCTTACCTTCCCTTTCCATTCTTTTAAGATCATTAAAACATAATAGAAAATTCCCAGGCCCTATGTCTAATTAGACAACTTTTGTGATTCCTGATGAGATGATGATAAGGTCCTGAGAACATGTACCATCTCCCCATATTACAATGTAAACAGTTTGTTTTTGTTGAGTCCTTTATGATTGTTCACCTATATTTACTTTTTAATATTTCTCTTGTGTCTTAATGTTTGCACTTCAAAGTTTATACTCAGCTGTGGTCTTTTCATCAGGAATTCCTGGAAGTCTTCTGTTTCATTAAAGGTCCACTTTTTTCCATTTAGGATTATACTCAGTTTTTCTGGGCATATTATTCTTGGTTGTAAGCTTATATCCTTTGCCTTCTGGAATAGCCTGTTCCAAGCTTTCCACTCCTTTATCGTGTTGGCTACCAAGTCAGTTGTGGTCCTGACTGTGACTCCTCGGTACTTGACTTCTTTCTTTCTGGTTGTTTGGATTTTTAGTTTGGTTTAGTTTAGACATGGAAGCGTTGGATTTTGGCTATAATATTCTGGGAGTTTTTATTTTGAGGTTTCTTTCAGATGCTGAGCAGTGAATTCTTTCTATTTCTACTTTGCTATCTAGTTCTAAGCTGTTTTAGTAGTTTCCTATTGATGATTTCTTCAAATAAATTGTCTAGGCTCTTTATTTCATCATGACTTTTATGTAATCTAATGATTCTTAAATTATCTCTGCTGGCTGTATTTTCCAGGGCAGTTGTCTTTGCAGTTAGAACCCTTACATCTTCTGTTTGTTCAAACTTTTTTTTTTTACTTTGTTTTAATAATTCCTGTTGTCTAATGGAGTCATTATTTTCTATTTGGGGTATTACAATTTTCAGGGAATTTTTTCTTGAGAAAGGTTTTGTTCCAAGCTGTTAGTTCCCTTTCTAGCTTTTGCTTCTGTAGCTCTCATTTCTTTTCCAATTTCTTCTTCTATCACTATCATTTCATTTATAGAAACATTTTTTAACTAAACAAAGAAACAAAAAACAACCCAAACAACTTTTACTTCATCTCTTCTTGGACTTCTCGTTGAACTTGGTTCTGAGCTGTGTGTCTCCCTTTGAGGCTTTGTTTGTAGATATTTGGAGTCCTTCTTTTTTGAGTTTGTCTCGAGCGTTTCTGTCGGCATAGCTTTTTATGGTAGAGTTCTTGTTTGGTTTTCTTGTTTGTTCATTCTTCTAGTCTACTTCAGACTTCAGACTGTACGTTACAGCCTGCATGCTTTTAGGGGTGGGGTAGATATCTGGGCTTTTTGGGGTTGTCGAGTGTTATGTTCTTCCTGGGTCTCGGGGAACAAGTCGGCTGGGAACCTGCAAGCTTCCAGCATTCCTAAAATGTTTTGATTTAGAGCAAAGTCTGATTTCTGCCCTTCGTGCGTGAGCTCTTCCAGTTCATGATCTGAGTTTGAATCTAAGCCTCATGCCTGTGAGCTTGCTCCATTTGGAGTTTCAGTAGACTTAGCAAATGTCAAACAGGTAGAGTGCTCTGCTGGTTCAGAAGGGCTGCAGATTCTTCTTTGGTCTGGGGTTCCTGCCAAGTTGGAACTGAGACCCAGTCTTTCTCCAGGGTTCTGAGCCACAGAGATGCTACTTCGTTCAGAACTTGCTCCTTTCTTGGTACCCAGCATAGAGTCCCTGACCCTGTCTTACCTTCTAGGTGCAGGTCAGTGCCACGTCAACTCAGGTCCATTCCTCAGTCAGCCCTGTATCTGTGAGCTGTCAGTGGGCAGCTTTTCCTGTACCTGTTCTAGCTTAAGAACCTCTCTGTTGGATTAGGGCCCTCTTCTTGACCTGGATCCCAGCCTCTTTGTATGCTTGAATACCCCAAGCAACCTTTTCTGGCTATGTACCTGTCTGGCTGCCTGTTATCAGCCTGAGCTAGAAAAATGACTCACTGTGAGTCTTCTCTTGGATTCCCTGATCAGATTCGGTCTGGGGTGTTTTCTAGAGGTTTCCAAAGGGCTTTCTAGTTAATTTGTCTTTAAATGCATAATACAGTGTTTCAAATTGGAGCCCTTTGGCATGAAAGTGGATTTAGTAGTTTTTATTTTATTATTAAAAATTCAAACAAACATGATTTTGGAAATTAAGGAAGAACTTATTTTTTAGTTTTTAGGAGGCCCACAAAACAGTGGAAGCACAAAAATTATGAGTTAGCTGAGATGCAGGAGGGTGATGTAGCAAAGCTGTTTATGTACCCAAGGTTTTTTGTTTGTTTGTTTGTTTGTTTGTTTGTTTGTTTTTCCCAAGAAAAACAAGAAATATTTGTAGGGAGACTGAGTAGTGTTCCATGCTTGGAGTATAGTGGCATTTGAGAAATCGGCTTTTCTTCTGTGGGGGCCTCGAAATGAAGGTGGGGTTTCCTTTTGGCTGTTAAGACAGGCTGCTCTGTGTTGATGCAGACGCTGTCACAGTGGCATCGTGAAATCTTTCAGACTTTTAAGCTAAGTGTCATCAGGGTATATTCTGATGATACTGTTTCTGATGAGGATAGTTGGACTTTGTAGTGACCATCCGAGTCTGGTTTAAATCTTCAGACTTCTGCCCCAGTGGAATGCTCTCCTCTGTCGGCCCCCAAGTGCTAAGGCATCATATTTTCACCAGGCTTGCTGTCTGCACTGGATGACTAATCGTCATGACACCTGGTGCATTCAAGCAGGCCTTGTGCACTGGAATAGTCATACCTAGTTATGTCTGCACACCTGATGTTTTATTAACCAGTATTGATTTTTGGAGCCGGGGGACTTTTTTCTTCCTGAAAAAAGGGCAACCTTGCAGGAGTGAAAGGCATTGCAGGAGATGAATTTCTAATGAACCTCATCTTTTCCTTTTTTTTTTTTTTTTTTTGCTCCTCTTTAGTAGAGCTTCATATTTTAAGTGAGCAAGCTGAAATTTCATTTTAAGCAATTCCATTTTGATAAATCCTTTTAAACCTTGACTTTCTGTAAGGTTATTTTTTAAAGATTGCACTGCTTGACTGACACGCTTAGCAGTGCCTGTAAATTTGAGCATTTCATTATAGGTTGCAATGAAGCATGCTTACATGCAGCGAAATACTAAGAATTTAGGGGCTGAGACCATTGACAGAAAGCTGAGAAAAAGAAAAGGCGTTGAGTTCTCTGGTGTATTCCAAGCAGTCCTGAAGTTTCTTCTGGTTGGCTTAGGGTTGGTTCATGGAGGTCAAGTCCCCGTAGCATGCTTGCCTCTCCTTGCCTTCCATATACATGCCAAATGGATGTATTCTTCTACAGTAATTTTGTGATGCACAAAGACCTTGCTTTGTAAGTAGAAAATGGAGATTTACCCAGAGCATTGGAGACTGACTTTCTGAGCTGTACTCTAATGACAACTGACTCAACAAATCTTATCTGTGATTCTTTTGATCTTCAATTTCCCTGGGGGGAAGGGAGGGGGATTGAACTGTAGAAAAATGATCCAAGAAAAGCTTGGGGTTTTTTCAGCTTTCTCTTAAATGGCTGCCCAGACCTTGAACATATGACTGTTAAGTAAATGTTTTGTACAGTCTTGGCCATTTTCCTTTTATGTGATTGTTTTTGTGTGTATGGGGCTCCCCGCCTTCTTTCACACTGCATTTTTAATTTGCTGCCACAGACCATCAGGCATTGTGCGCAGACTGCAGACATCCCATTAGGTGTCAGTAGATGAGGGTCCTCGTGACTCTGACAGTCAGCTTGCACTGTCCCAATAATAGGAGCTTCTAGCTCTGTTCTGTCGTTTCAGGGAAGCTAAAACCACCCTCGGCCAAAGGGTGCATTTGTATGACACATTGCTAATCATTCGCCCATTAAGTAGCTTGACTTTCAAAACTGGTTTACTTAATGTGTATTAATCCTGTGTTGATTAATTGACCTTTCTGTTCTTCTTACAGTTTTTGGCACTGGGCACACATTATGGCAAGGTTTATTTGCTCGACGTCCAAGGAAATATCACTCAAAAGTTTGACATTGTAAGTATACAATATGGATAGCCATTCACGTGCTAAACTTGATAGTATAAATCAAATCATAGTAAAGCCTTAAAATCTCAGTATTGTACAAGTGTATTTTGAACTTCAGTCTGGATCATTTGAAGAAATGGATTTTAGCAACGATTTCTATGTACTCTAAATGCAGACCCACTTTTCTTATAAGAGATGCTGAAGTCTTATTTATATGGAGTTAAGTGAAGAGGGAATTCTCTCTCTCCCAGTTATCTTAAATAACTTTTCTGTAGACATATACAAACAAGGGCTATTTACATTGAATCCCATTGAAATATTTTAATGCAAAGTCAACTCTTTGGCTTTAATTAGATTTTGCTTTCAGTTGTCTCACCTGTATGTGTGTGTGTGTGTGTGTGTGTTAATATACAAGCACATATTGTCTAAATAAATTATTAAAAGAGGAAACATCTTGCATTTCGGCTAGCAAATAACAGTCCTGATTTACATACTTCAAGGGATTCGTAACATCCTAAAGGTATGAGCTCCCTCATTAGCTGACTGTTGTCAGTGGTTAGCGCCATGCCCTATCATCTTATCGAGATGCCAAACGTAATTGAAAATTGATTGATTACCTTGCTAGTTCAGTTTATCTACTCCAAATATATAAAGCTAATATTTTATGTGTATGTTTGGAAGCTTAGACTCTTAGGGGATTGTATTGATTGAAGAAGAGCCAGGCTTGTGTTATATAGTGGTTCTTGGAAACATTTAGGATGAATGAAATGCTGAACTCAGAGCTGTGTTCTGCTATCTTTAGATGCACCTTGACAGTATGAAAAACTTACATGTATATGTGAGTGTGTGTGGGTATTTTGAAAATACTGGCTTGTGAAATAAGTACTTGTCCTTTTGGCCTGGCATTCCTCTTTGGAGCGTAGCATCAGCACTGGCCAGGGAATGTGTTGGAGACATTGGCATAGCATGTTAGTTGGGCTGCGTGTTCTAAAGCTGACACTGGGGGGAGGTTCCTTTTGGTTGTGAAAAATCACATTGTGGGATTGATACCAAAATGTGGGAGGGAGAGCCCAGGGAGGGAGTTTGGGTGGCGCTGTGGTTGGAGTGATGTTGACCCACTTAAAGATGAGCCAGTTAGAAGCTGGCTGTTTCCTTCCCCTCTTAGTGCCAAGTGGTGTATAAGTACTTTTCCCGGGTACTTTCAAGGACCTGGGCATCGTTTCCCTGACTCCTTGACCTTACCCAAGCACGCAACCTTATGAGGAAGGTACTCCTCCCTGGGGCCAGCTTCTCTCTGTGCACTATCAAAGTCTGTAGTTGAATCACCATTACTGAGTAAACCTTTGCTTCATTCATCCCAGTGAGCCCTCACAGCAGGGACAGTGCAATTCATTTACTCATTCAGTGATGGCCTTGGGCCCCTCCTCAGGGGGAGTCACTACGTGCTTGGAGGAGTGTCTGGTCCTGTCTACTGGATGTCTGCTCGAGCCTTGGTGAGACTTGTAAGTTGGCCTCTTGGGATGTTGACTGGCCCTGCTTCTCTTGAGGTCATCGGTTTTCTAAGTGGCTCACTGCTCTATCGAATACTCTTTCTTTTTTCCAACTTAGCAGAGTTCCGTGCATTTATTTCCTGAAGCTGTGTGTCCTCAGGGAGGCCGTGCCTTTTGAGAAGGAACCTCAGCTTCTGTTTCTCATTCCATGGGGGTTCTTCTCATGTCTACTTTGTCTTCCTTGCTGCTCTTGAGGAGCCTTGTTTCTTTCTCCTATTTTCTCTCGAAAATGGACAAACAGCCCACTCCCATTTCTTTGGGAGAGGAGATCTTCAGAAGAAGATTCAGAATATTGTTATGACTCAGATTGCCTAATCATTACTCAGCATTCCAGGTTCTGCCGCCTTTCATTACGAAGTCATTTCTCTTCATTGGACAGTCTAAGCATGATGAGAGATGGCTTCACAAAAGTTGCAGGAAACTCTTCTGGTGCCTAAGGCTCTCCCTGACTCTTCAGGTCTTACTTTGAGAAGAAGTACATGGCAGGCTTCTTGATAGATTGACTTTATTTCTGTCTCTGCAGCTCCAGGCCTGCCCAGGAGAGTGCTGGGTCACAAAGAGAGTGCTTGCTGAATGTTCCATAAATTTGTTAAGAAGAAATTACAAAGAGAAAAGGCAAACAAAATGATCATAATGTTGCTTGATGCAGAAGATACATTTTATACTTAGACTCACTTTCATGCCCATTGTCTCTTGGATTACTTCAGCTAATTCTTTCATTAATAGGTTTGGATTCTGTAGGAGAAAGCTCTGGAGGAACCCTTAGTTGCCTTGAAACATAGATTCCACCATTGGTGTCTTGGGATGCTTAGGCAGAAGTAACTAAAGAGGTGAAACTCTTCGTGATACTTTTTATTAATGTGCACAAAAGACCCATAGGGCCATTGATTTAGAGCCAGAAGGGGCCATGGAGATCATTAAGTCCAGCCTCCTGATTTTTCAGATGAGGGAATTGAGGCCCAGAGAGGGGTATTAACCTGCTTAAGGTCCCAGAGGTGGTAAGGTACAGAGAGTGCTGCCCCCTTCATTATGAGTCCATCAGTAGGCATTTATTAAACACCTACCATATGCCACTGTTCTAGGCACTGGGGTTATCAAAAGAAAAGCGAAATATTTGCTGCCCCTAGGGAGCTTATTTTTAAGGTGGAGACATGGTGTTCGTTGGTTATTATGGGAGGGCAGTGGAAAGAATGGTGGATTGGGAGCCCGAGTTTCTGTTATTTTCCATAATTTTTTATTTTTTCTTCAAGATGGTGCAGAGAATGTCACATAGCACCAGAAGTGGTTACAACTCAAGTTGGATGGGGGCAGGATCAAATCCTAAGATGTTGACTTTGCCAGGAGTCAGTTTAGGAAAAGATGTAGGAAGACATCTTGGGAAAGGAGTAGGTGTAATGATTTGCCAGTTCTTGGTCATAATTGGGAGACAGGGATTGGTCCATAAGAATTTGGAGGAAGTGGTGAAGATATTGAGAAGTGAAAGGAGTCTTGAGCTGATTTAGTCGTGTGGAGAATCAGAATACACAAAATTTTAATTATTGGGAAACAAGAGTACAAGGAGCTAGTGATTCCATTTCTAAATTATCATGTACCCCATCAGTAAAATATTTTAAGTTTGGGAAAGAGAAGGGCAGAGGAAGCAGATTCCACCAAACCTAGAGCACTGATAAAGCTCAGTCCTTCTCTCTCATCACACTTTTATTTTTTAAAAAAGAGGGAAATTATAATAGGTTAGACAGAAAACACCATTAACAATGATAGCTACCAATGGGAATGGGATGAACTTACCCATAAAATGGAAGACGGTAGCAGGCTGGATGAGAAAGCAACATCCAACAATGTTCTTTACCAGGAATATACTTGAAACAAAAAGATGCACAGAGTCCAAGTGGCTTGAGCAAAGTCTATCGTGCTTTAGCCAAAGGAGGCTGGAGTAGCAATCGTGATTTCAGATGAAGCAGCAACAAAATTAAACTTAATCAAAAGAGCTAAGTAAGAAAACAGGGCAGGTAGGTAGCGTGGTGGATAAAGTGATGGACTGGAGTCAGAAAACCTCATCTTTGAGAGTTCAGTTCTGCCCTCAGACACTAGCTGTGTTTCCTGAGCAAATCATGTAATCCTGTTTGCTTCAGTTTCCTCATCTGTAAAATGAACTGGAGGAGAAGATGGCAAACCACTTCATTATCTTTGCCAAGAAAACCCCAAATGGGGTCATGAAGAGTCAGACATGACTCAATAATAACAGTGAGGAAACAACATTTTGCTGAAAGATACTACAGATAGTGAATGAATATTGATAATAAACTATATGTACAAAATGACATTGCATCTAAATACTTAAAAGAAAAATTAAATAGGTTACAGAAATAGATAATACAATTATATCAGTGAGAGGCCTCAATTTACCCTTCTTAGACCTAGAGAAATTTAATTAAAAAATAAAAAAGTGAAAGACTTGAGTAGAATTTTTGAAAAATTAGATGTGATAGACCTCTGGAGATTAATGAATAGAAATGAGGATACCTTTTTCTTAGCTTTTCATGATGCCTTCACAAAAATAGACCAAGTATTTTCACAAATAAATGCAAAAAAGCAGAAATGTTAACGGATCACAATGTAATTGAGTTATATTCATAAAGATATGTCAAAGAAATGATGAAGAGACTAAATAACTTAATCCTGTTAAACAGGGATCCAAGAATAAATCATAGAAACGTCAAGTCATTTCACTGAAGATAATGACAGTGTCCTGACAATACGCCAGAAAATTTTGGATTCAGCCAAAACAGTCTTTAGAGGAAAGTTTATATTGCCAGTTTTTTTTATCAATAAAAGAGAGAAAGAGCAGATTAATGAATTGGGCATGAAACATATATATATATATATATATACACACACAAATATATATATAAACATATATATATTTATAAATATATACATATACAATAAATATATGTATACAAATATATATGTATACACACATATACAAATATATATATAAACATATATATATATATAAAATCAACAAATTAAAGTCCCCAAAACAAAAATTCTGAAAATTAAAACTTAAAATCAAAAGCAAAAGAAAATAAAAATAAAAACTAGGAGCTTTTTAAAAAAGTACGATTAAAATAGATAATCTCTTAGCTAACATTTTTAAAAAAAGAAAACAAAACAAAAAAAAGAAAACATTTTTTAAAAAAAGAAAACAAATTATCGCTGTCAAAAATGAAAAAAGTGAATTCACAAACAATGAAGAAGAAATAAAATGATTGGAAACTATTTTGTCCAATTATATGCAAATATGAAACTGCCAACCTAAATGAAATAGATGAATGTTGACAAGAATGTAAAATACCCAGGTTAATAGGACCAGAAATAGAGGACTTAACCCAGTCTTGGAGAAAGTTGAACAAGACATACGTGAATGCCCAAGGGGAAAAAAACAAAACAAAACAA